GGGGGACACAGAGAGAGAGAGAGAAAATCAATACTTATTCATGATTGATTACTATACCTACATCTGAAAAGCATGTACATTGAAAACAATCAAAAAATTGAACACCTTCCCAGCAAAATTACAAGCTTCAAATCAAAAAAAAAATAAAATAAAAAAATAAAATGTAAAACAAAAAACCAAAAAGGAAGAAAGAAATTATCAGCACCGAGACATCAGTTATTAGTCATGTTATACGAGATTTTAGTAATGACTGACAAAGGAATGCTGAGAATGTGACCTTGATTTCCAAAGAGTCCTATTCTTCCAAAGCTTGCAACAGAGCTGTTCATTGTTGCGTTAAAGAATGCACTCAATACCTGTTTCTCCCCACTAGCTACAAAAAAGTGAGTTGGTGTCACCTTTATAGAAGCTCCATAAGGAGCACTCCAGCCAACACTGTATGTCTCATTGCAGGCAATGTTGGTCACTGTTCTTTGGACCATCCTAGACTGGTTCAGTTTTGCTATTGTGATTGAAGGCAAGTTCAGATCTGTACCGTTCATGGTAGAAACTCCACAGCTCTGACCAGTGTAATTTAGAACAATGGGGGCCGAACCATTTATGCCACAGAGGAAAGACATGTAGTCAACATAGCCTACAAAGAAAATAACTTTTTAAGTTGGGTAGCATACATGTGGTACACAGGCAGCAGAGTTGATTATCAAAGTAGAAATTCCATAGAATTAGAATTAGGAAGGAAATGAACAAAATATAAATATACTCTAAAAGACAACATTCTCTCGTTTTTCTATATTTTTGTTATGCTGTGTTTTGCTGGCTTTCATAACTACTAGTTGTACATTGCCGCAATATAGCATATTGCCACTAGGAGATATACCTCACCAAAAGAACAATCTTAAATTTCCTTGGGAACATGAAATACTTAAAGAGTTGCAATACAATAATTTCATTTTGCATAAACATAACTTATTCCAAAAAATAACAAAAAGGAAAAGTGTCAATACATGTAGACATGGCAGAAACCAAATTTTAGCACTAATAGTTGTAAAACTGCAAACAGCCTTTCAATGGGCTAAAAACAAAAAGGCGAGCAGCAAAATTATGAGGCCTATCAGTGCCACCAAAAGCGAAATGAAGCATCATTCTTCAAACATAACGTTGGTGCTTCAAGAACTACATAAGCATAGTGCAATCAACTTCCTTTGTCAGCATTTGGGCTTTGCTGTGAGGTGAATTAGATAACAGCTATTTTGATGCGCGATTTTTTGTCTTGCATAGACAACTACTAAGATCCTCTGTAACCTAGTGACTCATAGTCGACATCCTCATCTAAAGCCCTGTTCCTACTTCCTATGCTGCTGATAGACAGCCAAGGCACCACAAACTACCTATGACACACAACATGGTCCAATTCCCTATATTGTTCAAACCACAAAAGCAAAATCCATTAAAGTGCCATCAATAGTTCGATAAGAGTAGTGCATATTCAAGTGTATTGTATTTTGTTAGTCACGAGATCACAAAATGATCTACTGTGTTCTCAACTCACAAGAAGTTAGCAACCCAGAAAATAAGTATGCAGCTACAGTAGCCACTAGTAGTTGGAAGGGGTGGTTCGCTTGAAATATATCTTCTTCAAAGGGCTAACACCTTTTTACAGGAGGCTTGTGACTGGTGTTGTGAGTAAGAAGCTTTACCCTTACATCTTCATTCACTATACTGACACTTGGTGAATGTATTTCACCATAGACACAGTATATGCAGTCAACTTATTACATTGCTTTCCATATTCTTAATTCGCTTATCCGTTGCATGCTCAAATTTGTTGGTTCTTTATTGAGTAATTGTTGAATTTTTACTTGGCCAGCAGTGCATGTTTAAGTTAGTTGTGCCCCACTACTCACCTAAAGCTTTAAAAATTTTAAGATCATTCATATCATACACATCCTTCTACTGGTTTACTATGACAAAATATGTCTAGCTTATAGAATTCTCCTGCATTAGATGTCCTATGTGCTCACTAAACTTGATGTTTGACAAAACTTGTTATGGTGGTAATGCTATTTTTTGCTGTTAACTTGTATTCAGGATCTTTCTTGAATTAAAGGAGAATCATTTCCATTTTAATGCTACTTAATCAAATGAAGTTCTCCGTGCCCAAAATTGCAATGAACCAGGAGAGTTTTGACCACTTTCCTCCATCCATAGTTGCATACAATGTTTGTAATGCATATTATGTATATGTCTAAGTAGTAAGTACACATATATGATTTGATTGAATGATCTTAGTTATGAGAACAACCTTAAGCCTTTCCTCAATTTTCATACTAACTGACATTCCTTTAAAGCAGAGTGACTTACTCATATCAAAAATAAGACCAGGATCTAATGCTGCAGTTGCATTCACAAAACCACTTCCCATGTCAAAGGCTGTTGCAGGAGATTGGTTTAAATCTGGGTTGGTGTAAGCCCGCTGGGCCATTATAGGTCCCCCATTCCTTTCATATAGAGAAGCTGTTGTGGAAAGCGCAGATCCAACGGCTGAAGGACTGAATGTGGGAAACTTCTGCTTAATCAAGGCTGCGAGCCCAGCAACATGAGGAGCAGCCATGCTTGTCCCAGACATCATTGCAAAGGCCTCATCTATAATTTTACTCTAATTAGTTGGGATGTCAATCAAAGAACGCTTATTGATAGAGGTAACCATTTAAAATATGGCACCAGTAATATATCAGGATAAATGTTTTCTTGTGCTTGTGCAAATTTACCTTGGAATTCAACAGAGTCAGTGCCACGGGAACTCCAAGCAGCCCAAATAAAATTCCCCGGAGCAACTATATTTGGTTTCAATATCTCAGCATCGTCAAGAAAACTGTCTTCTGGATCTGGTCCTCTGGCAGAGTAATACATTATCTTTGGAGCAGAATGGCTGAAGTTAGCTTTTATTCCACCTGAAATGCATGCAACTGCCCCAAACTTAACAATTTTCTTTGCAAGTTCATCTCTCACCAAGGAAGAATTGTAGTATTGAAGTAAGATCTGCCAAATGTATAGATAAAACATCAGTACGTGCACATGCAGGTATGCATGCATCAACAAGACAGATATGCACGCACATACACACACACACACACACAGAAATAGAAAGACACGGAGAGAGTCAAACTTCACCTTCAACTTAAAATCAGTCTTACAAAATACACAAAAACACAAGCAGTTACACCCCCATCTACGATCATACAAACTCACCTTGGAATCATCAGGGGATGGAATTATAATGCCAGGCAATCTCATTGGAACTGGATTAATCTGAAAGCCGATGACAAAAGGATCCATGTAGAACACAACACCAGCTGCACTTAGGTTTTTGGCTGTTTCTAAGGCCTGTTTGATGGTGGAGAGTCCAAGAACGAACCGGATTGAGTAGCTACAGATTAAAAGATTCCCTTGGACAATGTCCTGACTAAAATAATTAGAGTCCTGGCATTCACCCACGTACATGTCCTTCACAGATGTAGTGTCATTCAAAGCATGGAGGGCAGAAACCAGTGTGTACATAGTATTATCTGTTCCAGCTGAAAAGAAAAAAACACATTAGAACATTATTGTATTTCTGCTTCTATGTGGTAGGGAGAAGCCAAAGTATACAACAATGCAAGCGACAATTGTCAAATGTTGGTAAGATTTAAGGGGTATACTAAGATATGTGCACGCATAAGAATTGGTGATGTCAGAAGGTGACTATGTATCATTTGCAATAAAACATAACCAGAACCAAATATAATATGATGTCAATCAAGATTTCGAGGTTCAGTTCTACAAACTGAATGGACTCAAATTGGAATCTGTTAGAAGATGAAATGCTGTGGCTGGAAAACTAAGGGAGCATTTTGATGCATTTCTTTCACAAATTTTGAAGATTAGAAGTAAAAATCGGATTGACAATCACCCGGAATAAAGGTTTCCAGTAACTGAGGGCACTGTGAGACGTGGACAAAATGCAGCCTTAACCTGTATCATTATTTGAACAATGTAGGTATCCTCAATTGTAAACCACAACTTTGTGGTTGTTAGCCTGTGCATTTCACCACTGGACTTTGCAATGACCCCTCACAATCACATTGAATATATTGATGTTAAATTTAGTTCAGTTTCTCTGCCATGTAATGATTTCTATTTTCTCTCTTGGTGTGAACCGGAAGGCGTACAATACTAATCCTAATACTAACTTCAAAACTATAGAATATGAAGGCGTGTGTGCCATAATTTCCGTAAACAGCTTTCTGTATTTGGAAACTGAAGCACAGAAAAGAAACGGACAACAAATCTACGGAGTGTACGTTTTCAAACACTTTTAGCAAATACTTCAGAAAAATAGGCCAATATCAGCAGACCACAAAACAAGTTCATCTGCAGTTTCACATGTGAGGAACTACTAGGAAATGAAGCCCACCTGACAATGTCATGTTCCATTTTGGAAAGGGCCCACAAAATAAAACAGGAATTGGAAACTCATTTTGTATGACACTACACATGCTCTTTACACCGTTCAAGATTTGTCGCATGATTTCGTGAAAATGAAGAGAAACAAATTACTAACTCCAAAACTGACTTACGTGCAAGTCCAACTCCAGGAATGGTGACATTGTTTCCAAGGACTATAGAGTTGCTATAGACCCTATCATCAGCAGCAGCCCCAACAGTGAAGATCCATGGACTGAAGGACGAAATGCTCTTAGGGGATGGTCCAGTATTGCCTGCGGCTTGCACTACAAAAATACCAAGCTTTATAGCTGACAGCAAGGCCATATCTATGGGATTAAAGAAGGTTGCAATGCCGGGAGGGCGCCTGTTTGGAGTGATTGACAAGCTTATTATGTCCACTCTGTCCTGAGCTGCCTGTGGATGTAATAATGGACAATCAAAATGAGCACAATGCCTCTTGTGAATGGTTTTCAAAAAGTAGGGTTGCCTGTGACAATAAACAGGCTGGTGGGTCTACTGAGTAATCCAGGTGTATCATCGATGCACTGTTGTATCTATTGTCAATCCATGTTCAAGAGTGTTAGGTATTGAACTTAACATTGCCAATGGAACTACCCTGAATTCGCATCCAATGTGATTTGATTAATAACAAAAAGGTGGCAAGGGAACAGATCACATCTACTCCATGAACTCTTCTTGGAAAATATGAGTCAAGTTTATGTTCAAGATCTCAACATATCGAATCAGGAAGGAATATACCTGATCAATGGCAGCTACAACATCCGCAGCAAAGCCCCCAAAGCTCTTATACAATGCCTTGTAAACAGCAATGCTACAGAAAAATGGCATGCTCTTAGTACATAACCCACAAAAATATACAAAACCGAACATAGGGTTGAGTTCATTGGCAAGAATAACATTCATAAAAATTTTAAATACTTATAAGGCATCATCAGTTTAAGTTGCACGGTGCACCTTTGGTGCACCCAAAAAGTCTTGGAGATAAGCTATTGGGAACTTCCAAAAATTAGTGAAGGACAAACGTATGTGAAAATATGTCAGTTATAGTTGTGCCATGATTCTCAAAGAAAATTTGGAAATGAAACTGCGAGAACTAGCATTGTTCGAATCCCCCAAACAATAGGAGATCGTTAAGACAGATTTCCAAAAAGATAATGTGAAAAAGATATCACATTTATGCGAACTAGAACTTTTGGAATTCCCTGAAAAGTAGAAGATTGTTAAGATGATGTTTTGAATTAAAAATGTGAAGATTCAATAATAAGTGCATTTTCTGCATTGCGTTTTCCTTTGGCCCTATTCTTTGAACCAAAACAGACCATGCAAGCAGTATGAAACATGAACCCTTGTCTGTATGTACAGTGTAACCGTTGTATCCATGGACCATTGCCTAGTGCTGCTGTGCAATATTGGGCTACTAACTGTGAGGTTGTCAGCTTAAATAGGAGAGCATCCGATCAATGCAATGTGATCAAACATTAGTTATGGACCTAGTGCAACCATACAAACATCCTTCATTGTCAAAGACCAAATTAGGGATGGCCTTTATGGCATCTAGGTAGCCAAATAGCTAATATATTTCCAATATGAATATTCACTAAGTTTGTTTATCCATAACAGATAAACCTGTAAATATTCTTCCTGCAGTTATTTTTAATATACATTTCAATAAAAGCTTAAGTGGCATTATTTCAAGAAATAATGAAAGAAGTAATATAATCAATGAAGTGCAAGTCCTGAGACAAGCATCAAGATCACTCAGTAATACTAAACTGCGGAAATGTAACCCACCCACCACCTTGAAATATTCTTACAGAGTTTTTATATGGTCAATCAGAACAATTTATGTATTCATTTTAGAAATTTCTCATCAAAGCCCCATCATTTGACAGTATTATATCGAATGACCCCGAGTAGAAAGAACCTGCTCAAAGCATGCCCTTGATCAAAATATGGTTTGGTTGATGAGTATGTAATAGGATTGTTAACTTTGATGAATCAAAGAAAAGTAAGAAGAAAAAAGAAGAGAATATTATTGAGGCACAATTAGCTAGAACAAAGTTTTAAAGAAAAATTACATATAAGAGGGTCTTTATATAGTAAACTAAGCTAGGGCAACATAAAAGAAAACAAATGACTAAATTACCCTTAAGTCTAAATATAATAACTATTCTAACACCCTCCCTCAAACTCATGATGTAGTAACATCAAACATCAAGAGTTTGGTAAGAAGAAAAAGGAAACAAAAGTTTCCTGCTTAATCAGTGCGAAACAATGCAAATGAAAACAAAAGTTTTCTGCTTCTTCAGTGCGAAATAATGCAACGCTATTTCAAATAGCAAGCCCAAACAAACATATCAAAAACCAGCAACGTGACAACTCACCAATGCACAAAACCAACCAATCAACAAACCAGTCTAAAAGTCCAAAGCAACAGCAGTAAACGAAGAAGAAACAACCAGACTAGTAACTAGAAGAAGCAGAAGAAGAAGAAGAAGCACTAGCAGAAGAGAAGAGGCAGCAGCAAGTCAACAAAAATAGCAATCTAAACAGCAGATCTCAATGTACCAACTTCACAAACCAGAAACCAATGAAGAAGCAGACGCTCAATAGGCCTTAATACAAGCATCTCGAGCCAATAAATCAAACCAGCAATCCAACAACTAGACAATCCAAATTTCATAACTTTCAAAAGTCCAGAAGACAAACAGAGACAGCAAAACAGCAAGACAGTAGTAAAACACTAAAAAGGCACTAAAAATCAAAATTCGGCACTGTTCACAACATGAACAGTAATGTCGGTACCGTTCACAGCGCGTGAATAGTACTTCGACACTGTTCACAGCCCTTGGAATCACAAAAAAATAACAATTGACCAATCACTAGCCCTCAAATCACATAACCCAAGAATATATTTTTCCTCTAATTAAATTACTGTGGTGCTACAATATATATTTTGGATTGAAACCATGCTCTGATATCATGTTAACTTTGATCAATCAAAGAAAAATAAGAGGAAGAAAGAAGAGAATATTATTGAGGCACAATTAGCCAGAACAAAGTTTTAAAGGAAAATTACATATAAGAGGTCTTTATATAGTAAACTAAACTAGGGCAACATAAAAGAAAAAAAATGACTAAACAACCCCTAAGTCTAAATATAATAACTATTCTAACAAGGATAACTACTAGGTAAATCTGTGAAGATAAGGTTGGACTCCCAGTAGAATTGTGGAGCAATATGCTGCATAAGATAACACTAAGATAAAATATAGAGCGTCTAAAGCTAGAAATCAAGTGAAAAACAAAGACGACTAATAGATTCACAAAAACGACGACTAATGTTATTACGTAAACCGACAAATTTCTTGAGGAATTTGTGATCAATGTAGCCAAAGAGTTGGAAGTAAAATTTAAAACACATCCTTAAAGCCACCTGCATTTCAATTTATGATATTTCGGGCAGTGAGAAGTAAAAGAACATGCTTAGGCGGCCAGGAACTTTGTTGTTGAGATATATGAAAGTGAAAAAGACTAGACAAAAATGAATCGATCAATGACAAGGTAGAGGGGGCAAGGGGCATAAAGAACTTTATGAGTTACTAGTTGGTGCCCACGTACATTGTACGTGAACCATTTTGAATTATAATTTTATTTTTTATTTTTTACTTTGTACCTAGATTATCTCTATATTTGTGGTTTATGTATGCATAAAATAAGTATAAAGTTAGAAAATAAATGAGGCAGAATATAAAAGGAACACATTAGGTCGTTAAATACCTATTGGTTGTTTATGATATTTATATTTCAAATATTTTGCTTCTACCATGGTTATGGGCAACACTTGCCAAAATTTCTATCAAGAATATAGAGTTTTTCACCCCAAATTGCCTTTGGATTGGAAAATGTTACAATCTTATAGTAAATGTTTGACAATTGAAGACAAAAAAATAGATAAAAACTCAATAAAAGTGAACAAAAATTTAATTAACAAGTAAAATTTGCGTATAGTCGGTACAAAAATTAACAGTCCAATCTCAAGCACCAAAACCATGACAAATCAAATTTCTAAATAAAAACAAAAAAGAAGATAAATGCTAAAAAAAATTGAATCTAAACAGCGAATAAAACACATCACATTCTCTTAAAGTCCTAGATTACACTCAAATTATATCATCAAAGAAGTAGTTGATAGTAAGACAACATCAAATGAAGCTAAGCACTGAAGCAAAAAAAAAAAAGAAAAATCATATGAACAACCAAGAATTCTTGCACTTTGAGCTCATCATCTTTCAATATTGTTTACAAGTGTTACTTCATAAGATTCATGATAACTTGCAAAGGAAAATAATAAAACCTAAAGATAGAAGTAGAGAGAGCCATGGAAGTTACAGAGAAGAACCAAAATACCAGTAGCCTCCATTATTTACAGAAGAGCAATATTATCCATACCAAATTATTTACTAAATTTTGTATTACAAATTAGTGTGGTTGGTTAGATCAGTGAGGTCTACTAACTTCTTCTAAACATTTAATGCATGAGATTTTAACACATCATTTGTGATACAACATTTGGTAAACAAATTTCAAAAGCACAATTTTATCTTTTAAAGATTGAAAATTTCTCTATTGTTTGAAAAGTGAGGGTTTGGAAGGAGAGCAATGTTATTCTTATATTTTTTTTTTATTTTCTCTAATGTTATGAATATGAAAGGTCTTCCAATAAGTAATAATATATATTCATTGCACTTGTAATTGCAAATATCAACTCCTTGAAAAGGAAGGGTTTGAGAGTTCAAGTGAAAAATGGGATATAATTATCTTTATATGATTAAGTAGGGGTAGAATAGAAAATAAAAAGTTTTTCTCATTAGCTTCCTTTTATTAGTAGTATAGATTAAGTAGGGGTAGAATAGAAAATCAAAAGTTTTTTTCATTAGCTTCCTTTTATTAGTAGTATAGATAAATATAAGAAGCAAGAGAGTACAGAGGAAGGATAATAAATACCTCAAAACAAAAAACCCAAAAAAAGTATAACAAAATTTCAAAACTTTACTGGGATGAAACCAAAATAGAGTGATGGTTAGGGCATGGCAAGAGAAGACTAATGACTGCCTTGATGGGCTCTCACCTTCAAGCTGCCATATGGATGACAAGAAATTACCAAAATAGACAATTGAAAAAGTTAAAGTATTGATGTAAGATAGGGTGATATAACATCAAAGCAGTATTCACGAAGCTGACCACATAATAATTTCAGGACTTTGTTGAGTTCATACCTGTACTGCATTTTTTTCCCTCTTCTAGTTGTTGTGCTTAGTTAGTTTGTCATTAAACTTGCTCTACATGTCTTGAATGTGATATTCGTTATATCTAAGTTATTTTCTATTCTCATGATAGTAAGAAACTTGACACTGGGTCCACACTGGCAGAGGTGGGACTACCAGGGTTAATGGTATCTCTGGTGTTCAGAAGGATCACCTCAAATATTGGTAGTCATATTGGCTTTATAATTACACCAAAGAACAAGAAAAGGAACAAAAAAAAATTATTTCATACAAGAAGAATCCCAAAACAACAAAATGGCTGTTACATGCATGATTTCGAGGGATTTAGAAAATAAAAGAAAATTAGAATTAGGGGAACGAAAGACCCACTTCGAGGGGGGTAGAAACCTCTGATGGTTCACTTCGAGGAAACTTGACCTCCCAAGCCTTTCTCAAGAATGTTTATCACAAATATTCGTTACGTTGTCCATTAACCGTAGGCCCTTTAAATGCAATGAGATATGCACCCAATGACCCCACTACCTAGATAACTACCTAGAAAACCTACTAATACTATACCACTTCAAACTCATATTACTAACTTACAAAAATATGAAAAATATGCACATAACAATCTTTCTCCCTTAAAAAAACTGTCCCCAAAGTTTTATTGATCATGTAAAATAAGGAGGCGGCCAACTCACTTCCATGTCTTCATCATAGTCAATTTAATCCCTATTTTCACCTCTAATATGCGTGAAATAATTTGTCTTCATTTGCATTGCAACAATAATCTTCAAATCATCACAACTTTTGTCTTCACTTGCTACAATGACACCCATCAGTTTGCGTGTTGCCTACCTCATCACCAAATGATGACCCCTTCTTATACACGCAATGTATTTCTCTACACGACCAAAGAAGCATGCTAGCATGCAATTTTTCTTCTTGAATGATTTTTTTGAGATTGTTGAAGTCTTCTTGAATTTGTTGATTTTCTTTAATCAATCTTTTGAACGTCTTTTGAAAATCATCATGCATCAACTTCAAAATCTTTGATGAGGTAGCCATTAATAGGATTGACAGCTCTGATACCAATTGTTACGTGCACGATTTTGAGGAATTTAGAAAATAAAAGAAAATTAGAATTAAGGGAAAGAGAGACCCGGAAGGGGGTACAAACATCCGGTGGTTCACTTCGAGGGGAACCTGATCTCCCAAGCCTTTCTCAATAAAGTTTATCAAGATATTCGTTATCTTTACCATTAACCGTAAGCTCTTTAAATACAATGAGATAACAACTACAAGATAACTCCTAAACCCCATGACCCCACTACCTAGAACCTAGGAAACCTATTAATACTATACCACTAACCCATTGACCAATTCAAACATCTAGTACTAACTTACAAAAATGTAAAAAATATGCCCGCTACAATGGCAAACACAATCAACCTAGCTGAATGCTTGTAATTGGTGAATGACCAGTCACCTTGAACCAAAAGTTGCAAAAGTTTAACTAAGCTCTCCTACATCTTCCCTGTGTTGTTTCCATCATCTTATCTCCTTGTGAACCAATCAGAACCAAGGAAGACTAGACTAGGTTGACCTCAGAATATAAGCTTTAGCCCAATGATTAAACAAGAATTCTGAATTGGTAGGCTTTAAGCAAACTGGCACATTAGAAGAGAATTTTGTCTAGCAGATGGCAACCATGACCCCTTAAGCAATGATCAAAATTTTCCATTATATAAAAAATTAGATATGAATTTAACAGTACGTGCCATTCTGAAAGAAATCCTCATGAGTATAAAATCCTGGTGCACTACACGAGCACTGCCCAAATACAAAAAGGATTCAAGAATGCTTTTTTGTTTCTATATTTTTCTATGTTAGCAAGCAGTGAGAAAGATCTAACCCCAAAACAGAATGTAAAAATTGAAAAAAAAAAAAAAAGAACTTAACATGTATAAAAGATGAGTGATGGCACACAAACTTACAAACTGGCACACTGATTTTAGTCAGTGATGTGGCATGCCTACATGGCTTTCCATATCAGAAAATAAACAATATAAATCATCAACATTAAGTGCATTCTGTACTCTTTTATCTCCCTGTGGTATGTGTGTCCCTTCTCCTAAGATCACATTTTCCTAGAACAAATAACTCCTAGTCCTAAAAAGTGGTACCCAAGTATGATGTGAGTGACAATTACAATTCAGCTGCCAGTCTTACAAGTACACAAAATGAGAGCAGTTTTTAAGTTTGCGGGGCATTTTCCTGAACGAATATAGGGACTAGGAGGTAACTGAGATATCTGAAGAAAAAGGATGACTTGGATGACTGCATTTCCAAAACACTTCCTGAACTGTCTTACGTTGCGGTGCTTAAAAACATTTCTTTTTTCTGGTAAAAATGATCAGGCTACACATAGCTTTTTCAAAAATAGTACACATCTCTGTGTCTTGTGTCTATCAGATTAAACTGTATCAAGATTGTTATAATGTTTGTTCCACGTATTGGACACCAAGGTGTAATTAGCTTATTAAAAAACCAAAATAAATAAGGAACAGAAACTCAGTGTAGATCTCTTACTGCGAACGAGGAGCCATCCCACTTGCATTCCCAAAGTGATGCCCAGCTACTACCACTGGAATCCCATGGTTACCAGATGCCGTGGAAGCTGTGTGCCTGTATTTTTCAACCACAAGAAACAGAGATCAGAACCATCTGCAATTCATTGAATTTAAGGCGGGATCAAATGTCCAGTTTCTTCCCTGCATCATTTAAGGTAAAGCTAAATCATCTATGGTAGGGATGGTAACGGCAAATCAAATTCATATAGTGGACTTCAGCAACAAGTGCAATGGAAACAAACTCCAAATTATCTAGTTTTAGGCAAGTATTGGAACACTCCATGAGTAAATACCACTCACATTCACATGTTGCACTCCGAAGTATTACCTAAATGAGAGAGAGTTTGAAAATGTGATATGTCTACGGCCTTGTTGGTATTTGGCAGGCTCAATGGTGGGACAAGAGTGCTAGGTGCTTGCCTCATGTCTAAGCCTAAGGCGAACGAGATATGGGCTTTAGTTTTTCCCTTCAATGGTATAGTTGGCTGTAGAATCGACTGACTTGGAAGACATGAAGGAATATAAATCCACTATCACTGAAGAGGATGATTTGTTCGCTGATGAGGATGATTTTTAGATCCTTAGGTTAGGTGGAAGCATAAGACTGGATGTGTAGCTGCTTTGAATTTTCAATTTCAAAATGTTTAGATATTATGGGGTTGCATATATTTTGCTATAGTTGAATTTGGATATTGAGTATTTAAAAAGTTAGAACTTCGATGCTTCGTGATTTTTGGAATTCTTATGTTAAGAGTGTTTTAATATCCTTAGCCTTCTTTGGTGGTGACTAGCAGTTTTAATGACTTGACCTATGCTGAGAATTTGGCCAATATCCAGATATTTGTTTGTGATGTACAACATGCACCTCAATTCAATGAAGTCTGCGCCTCATGCCTAGGTCCTAGGAGACCTTTGTGATCTGGCACCCTAAATAAAATGAGTGAAGGGTCAATATAGGCTGGTCCTCGCACCATGTGTCGAAGATCACCCTGGAGACACCATTTAAAGGATATTAGTTCAGTTAAAGCATACTAATTTCATGATGCAGTCTATCTTTTGAACTTCATTGTTTCTCTAGCAATTATCATGCTGCTTGAACCCATGTAACCAGTAGTGTTAATCATTCAAACATGATGAAGACCTGTTAAATGGATATAGAAAATTAATATCCATGCACATCAACAGGTATGTTCAAATTGTTCTATCATTTCTTTATTTTTGTGTGTTTTCTTTATTTTTATATATGCGTCTATGAACAGATGTAAAGCTTAGCTGTACTCTAATGCCCTCATAAAACAATAGTAAAAACATAACTATTGATCATGACCTGGAAAATACTTTATTATACCCATGGATGGTACTACAAAGCGGCCAAGGGGAACCATAGCCCCCCTCACATTTTGAAAATTACCATTTATCCCCCTTAGGATTTTAAACAATTTTGTGCTTCCCTTAGTCCTTAGGTTTTCAAAAAACACTATATAGGATATTTGACTTAAAATATTCAAGAAATTTAATGGTTTGATATTTAATAACAAAATGGGGGATTCAATCACTTGGATGAGCATTGCTCTTATAAAGAAAATCAATTACTTTAACGAGTTTGATGACCAACAGGTCAAAAATGAGTTAAATTTACAGCAAAAACGAATTAAAAATGTGGCTTATATCTAATAATGGTGTAAGGTTGACCCAAAAGAAGGACCAAATTGAGCACCAAAACAATGTGGCACTAATATGGTGATTCCAACAAAGTAAAATTTACAAACTAAAAGTTAAACAAACTGCACAAATACATCACCTTCTTGAGAGTGTCCGTTTTTCATAGTTCTATACAATAAAAAATTTGTCTATAAGATGACTTGTTGGGTAGCACATTTCATAAAATTATTCATCATGATATTATTTGGCTCCCGCCACAATGAAATCTTTGTTTCATACCAGATTATACCAAAGGGAATCTGATAAATAACAATAAAACAAAACTATGGAGTATGAACAGGAAAAATCATATTGAAAGATTTGTTTCTTATAAAAAAAAAAAACTGGAAAATTCATATGGTATAAACAAATAATCCAAATAAGAGAAGATACTCACGTCCCATGGCCATCACCATCAAACGGTGAAGCATAGTCCTGAGTGGCATTAAATATTCCTCTGGTTATAGCAGATGCTGCAAAATGGCGGGCCCCAACAAGCTTTCTATTGCAGGAACCAGATGGGAAATCTCGAGTGACTTCACAAATGCCAGAAAAGTGCTCTGGAACTGGATATGGATTTTCAGATATATCATCCGAGAAGCTGGGGTGTGCTGGATCAATTCCAGTGTCGATAAACCCAATCACGATTCCATCTCCAGCATTCTCATATCCACCTTCTTGGGGCCATGCCCCTTCTGGTAGACCCAGGAATTGTGGTGTATGGGTTGTTGCAGTTCTGACTGAGAAATCCAGTACCACATTTGCAACTTCTTTCCTCCTTGAAAGCTTGTCGGCCTTTAAATTTCACCAACATTACAAGATTGATATTTATGGAGTATAAATTTTTTAATCACAAGTAAGTAGGACTAAATGAGTAACAAGACTAGTCACTAAAGCATCCCACTATTTCTTTCACAATGATAGTGATCCCCTGATCCACAAACCTGGAATTGAATGAATGATGATGATGATGCAACTTACACAACATAACTGGCAACGTACCTGCTGGGGGGCAACAAGCACAGCAAATCCATTGATCAAGTAGTGGTAGCTATACAGTTTCAGGTATTTTTCCCCTCTCAACACCCTTCTCAATAAAGAATCATGAATTCGAGCAACATAGGAACCGTTACGTGAATCTGATCTTGAAATATTGCTGATTCAAATTAAAATGACCAATAGCAAAGATTATAAAGGAAACTTTCTTGATTTTGAGAATTAAAAGAAAAATACTAGACAACTCAAAGAACAGACAAAAAAAAGAGAGATAAAAAATAAAGGAAAGAATAAAGTTATAACCTATCAAAATTATCAGTGCCAAGTACAACTGCATAGCAACAATTGAACTAACCAGAACCATCAGTCTAGTTAATAATCTGTTGGAAGCATACAAAAAACAAATTTTGGGCAAGAAATTTAAAACAAAGACTAAAGGAAAACAAGGATTGCATTTAGTAATCAACTCCAAGTCTTGAAACTTTCTTGTAAAGTCAATCAGCAGCACACTAAAAGGAACAAAATAGGAGCATAGGACCCATGAACCACCTAATTTGTTGCGGAAAACTCCACCAGCCAAAGACAACAAGAACTACCAGCAAAACTAATTTAATTTTACACAAACTACCATAAATTCATGATTTTTTGCTACATAAAATTAAAAGGCAATAAAGTCCAACACATTAAATCTCCAATACGAATACCCAATTGTTATTTTCCAAATTCAATTTACAAGTAGTAACACGAAAGTAAAAAAGAAAGGCAAAATCACTACATGAAGTACTGAACAATAAAAAGCTAGTAATTTGAGCNCGGCCTTTAAATTTCACCAACATTACAAGATTGATATTTATGGAGTATAAATTTTTTAATCACAAGTAAGTAGGACTAAATGAGTAACAAGACTAGTCACTAAAGCATCCCACTATTTCTTTCACAATGATAGTGATCCCCTGATCCACAAACCTGGAATTGAATGAATGATGATGATGATGCAACTTACACAACATAACTGGCAACGTACCTGCTGGGGGGCAACAAGCACAGCAAATCCATTGATCAAGTAGTGGTAGCTATACAGTTTCAGGTATTTTTCCCCTCTCAACACCCTTCTCAATAAAGAATCATGAATTCGAGCAACATAGGAACCGTTACGTGAATCTGATCTTGAAATATTGCTGATTCAAATTAAAATGACCAATAGCAAAGATTATAAAGGAAACTTTCTTGATTTTGAGAATTAAAAGAAAAATACTAGACAACTCAAAGAACAGACAAAAAAAAGAGAGATAAAAAATAAAGGAAAGAATAAAGTTATAACCTATCAAAATTATCAGTGCCAAGTACAACTGCATAGCAACAATTGAACTAACCAGAACCATCAGTCTAGTTAATAATCTGTTGGAAGCATACAAAAAACAAATTTTGGGCAAGAAATTTAAAACAAAGACTAAAGGAAAACAAGGATTGCATTTAGTAATCAACTCCAAGTCTTGAAACTTTCTTGTAAAGTCAATCAGCAGCACACTAAAAGGAACAAAATAGGAGCATAGGACCCATGAACCACCTAATTTGTTGCGGAAAACTCCACCAGCCAAAGACAACAAGAACTACCAGCAAAACTAATTTAATTTTACACAAACTACCATAAATTCATGATTTTTTGCTACATAAAATTAAAAGGCAATAAAGTCCAACACATTAAATCTCCAATACGAATACCCAATTGTTATTTTCCAAATTCAATTTACAAGTAGTAACACGAAAGTAAAAAAGAAAGGCAAAATCACTACATGAAGTACTGAACAATAAAAAGCTAGTAATTTGAGCTGCAAACTACATAGCAACCATAGTGGCACACTTTCAAGTTCAAAAAAAAAAAAATTTGTGGTAATTAACTATAGTACCTTGGTCTGTCCAGTCTATTCACTATTCCTGGACCACCGTGTTTAATGTCATTCCTCTTTACACTGAGTTCACCAGAGTAATGAGCAGCAGGAGCTTGTTTCAGAGTCACAATATACACAGCACTTACTTCATCGGCATTATCCTGAGACCACGTGCAGCCCACAAAATTCCCCAAACAAAGAACCACCATAAATTGCACCACCCAATAAATGCCCCCCATTTTTCTATACAGCGAAAATCAAACCAAATAAAAAAAAATAAAAAAGAATTCTCCCAGGGAAAAAAGCAAACACAAAACCAACCCAAAGGAAAAGAGAGAATGAACAAAACAAATCTTCAAGAAGAAGCAGAAGAAGAAGAACCACCCAAGTCCTCCATCAAAAACCACAAGCTTCTCCACCTCCTCCCTTTCTTCAAGTACCCAGAAGCCAAGTGCAGCAGAGTGAAACAAACCCAGAAAGCAAGACACCCTTTTGCACTAGCTAGACATAGTTGAGAGGAGAAACCCCAAACCCCATTAAACCTTCCATTGATGAGAAGTGAAATGGGGCAATGGAGCTTTGTTTAGTGAGAGAAAATAACCCTTTTGTCCGCTTTACAGAGAGACTGTGTGACAGTCGAGAGCAAGTTACTGGAAGAGGGGTGTATTAATATAGCTGGAGAAAAAGAGAACCTGCATACTTTATTGGTGGGTGTGCATAAGAACGTTTTGTTTAATACTTTGATGCATACCATTGAGAGAGTGGATAGAGAAATGACCGTTTTCTTTTGTTTTCGTTCCATTTTGGACTGTTGGGTGTCCACAGTGTGTCCTATTCCTCAAATGATCTTATGAAAATAACATGACAAATACTAAAAACCAAATATCAGCAGCTATTGTATTACAGTGAATTAGAAATAGATAAAAATAAAACTACATCCCTCCTTTTTTTTGATATTGCACTTTATCACCAAAGATTTTAAGATTTGATTACCCTATAAAAAAAAAGGAACACCTTGTTACTATTTAAGAATTCAAGACACATTGTGTGACTCTTAATCTTTGAGGAGATAAACAAAAATTAGATCATCTACGATTAGTTTAATTAGTCCTTAATTTTGATCGGTTCAATAATTTTGATGAGTAATCTCAATTGTTTAAAAACACAGGAAGAAAGGAAATTAAGCAACAAACATAACAACTCACAAATTGAATCCCTCAATTTTAATTTTGATCAATTACGACAAACTCCGTTATTTATTGTTCAATTTGAGTTGCTCTAATAATGAATATAATTCAAAAAAAAATATTTTACAGTAAGTGATTAAAATAAAATAAAATTTTAAATTGAGAGTATTAGAATCCTCATCACTTTCACCACACTTATACAAAAAATAATGATTTTTGTGGATTGGATAATCCAAAAATAAGTAGATGTTTTGATGCTATTGATAATACCTAAGAATGAAAAAAGTAGGTAAAATGATACAGAAAAGAACAGGGAACGAAAAGAGATTTGTTAGGCTATTGGTGTAGGGGTGGTGGGGTGGGCCCGTGTTGGGAAAGTGATAGTGAGCCGATGAGTCATGCTTTTCACCCTTTTGTGTGAGATTGTGGCTGGCCATTGTTTCCAACGTTCCAATTTTATAAGAGGTTTGGGCCAAAAAGTGGTCTTGTGAGTTGTGTCTGGTTTGACTTCCTTCTACCCGTGACTTGATAGAGAGAGAGAGAGTAGTCGAGATCTAAGAACATCACCGATGGAGATTCAAATTTTATATAAATATAGATTAAAGTTATATAAATTTAAAATATAGACTTAAAGAATAAATTTGATATTTATAATCATTAAATAGATAGTGCGTTCTTATAAATGTTGAGACCTATAATGAAATCACGTATTGTAATTATTAAGTTTATTTTTAAGTTTAATTTTTAAATTCATGTAACATTGCTCATAAATTTAAATAAAAAAATAATAAAAAATTAATTTTGTACAGACTTCTTTAATGGATAAACCCTTTTTTTAAAGAAAAAGAAACTAAAATTTAAATGAGAACAAATTTAAATTTAAAAAATGATAAAATATGACCATTGAATTTTTAAAAGAAAGTATAATCTCACTATTAAAGATTTAGATTTTAAAAATTGTCTCTCTTGATTTGAGTTTAAAAAAGAGTTTCTTTTATTTGGTATATGTATAAGTCTAACATTAAAGAAAGTTTTAATAATTTACAAGTTTAAAAAAAGTAGGGATTGAAAATCGTCTAAGGAGAGTTAGGATTCTCTCAATTTCTTAATCCATAAAACTCATAACTAAATGGTGTTAACTTGTGTTGGTCACTCTTGATTATCTTCAAAATTTACCAACCAAGGATCAATCTTTCTTTCAAGTTTTTCTTTAATTTTCCATTGATTCTTTGTACTTTTCTATAGATATATTACCGAAAGAGTAATGCTACATTAATCAAATTTTAGGACCAAATCAATAGCTCAAATGACATGACAGCTGACTTGGGTTTTGTATTTTGTGTCATGTCATTTGGGCCCCAATAAAAACTCCAAATAATACACTGTCATGTCATTTGATCTCTTAATTTGGTCCCTAAATTTGATCAGCATAACATTGTTGTTACCGAAAAGTTATACTAGTTGGCTATTCATTGTAATAATAGATATAAAAAAATTCACATAATTCAATACTAATTTGACCAAAAATGAAAACACGTCTAGTGCACAACATTCTTTGGACATAATTTACTGGATATAGGGTAGTTGGGATACGATTTAAGGAATTTTTCTAAAGACTTTCTGTTATATCTAAAAAGATGCTAACCATAGGAAAAAAAGGTGTAGATGATAAGAAAGGCTAAGGCTACCCAAATGACAAAACCACATGTTCGTCTTCCAAGATCGTGTATATCAATTCCAATGCCACACTATATCCCCACAAGTAGATTAAAGGGCACCAAATGTGGACATAAGCAAAAATGGTCAAAATAGAAAGGTTGCACGCTTGCCCCCATTGTTATGACACCCATAATTTGTTTTACTTGTGGATAACAAAATCACTACCGGGCAAATCACATGCATTCTAGGGAAAGCTTGAATAGGAAGTTCACACACCTCTCAAATCAATACAAAGTCTTGAACCAACAAGTGAATAAGAATAACATTGTCAAGCTTGTAGGATTGACCGGTAAGCCAAAGTCAAACATTGTCATGCTCCAATTTTCATACAAAGTGTGATTAGTAAAACAGTCTAACTATCAAAAGCACTTGTCAGTTACTATAAAATTCCTTGGAAAATATTTTTTAAATTTGAATAAATTTATTTATCAAAAATTCAGGCCGAGTTTTGTTTGACAATCAGACATTTTAATGAGTGGTAAGAGCAACCTGAGAGAGTACCAAAAATAATAAATAATATTTAAGTAATCATCTTCACCATATTATCCTTATTAAACCAACATAATCCAACACCGGGGTGGCAAATGGAGGTCCATAAAATCCTCTCAAACTCAGAGTCCATGCAGTCATCCACACATCATTATAAAAAAATACAATATAAACATCGTCTCCAATGTCTAAATGATTAATCGTTTACATGACCTCAATCTATACATAATTCATTATCTCTTTTTTTTTTTCACATCTTGACCATGTACATCAATATTACAAACAATTTATCTTTCATCTCGATGGTCCCACTACGCAGTCTATCAACACATGCTCATATCGAAAAAATGTTAAATATAGGTTTAACGCCCCAAAATCTACTTTGAAAGACATTACTATCTATAACTATTCATATCATAAGAGCAACTAATAAAATTCATAAATAAAAGAAATTACATTCATCATCTATAACAACTAAAGCATCATCCAAAATAAATATGTCAAACCATGACAATTACATTCAAAAACTAAATAATATCTTGCAGCAAAATAAATAAAACATTATTTTTAATATTGTCTCATAATTAACCTCTCAGTCTAGGAATATAAAGGAAACAACTCTAAATATTCACCTCGGGATTCACGTTTTCATCAATTTGAGCTTCCCAATTTACCTACTCATCTAATCTAAGCTCTTCCTATGGACTGTAATCTCATCCAATCTAAGCTCTTCTTCTAGACCGTAATCTGAAAAAGATGTTGCTTATAGGGGGTAAACACTAAGCTCTGTAGGAAAATTCTCACAAGTTCGAACAAGGTTTTGAAAACATATAAAATAAATCGGTCTCATTTTATAAAATATCATATACAACTTTTGAAATAAAATAGTGAAGTTCATTAGATCTCAAGTTTGCATAGTAACAATAAATTAAATGTAGAAGTAAAACTAACTTTCAAATAACAAACCATTACTAACACTGTATCTTGGGTATGTAGTAAAACTTAGCATGAATAAATACATTGAGAATATTCTGGCCAGCATACACATTCCCAATCTTTGTAAGGATACACAACTTTAGAAAAGGGCGTATACTGACGCATCGACAGTGAATAGTCTAATCCTAAAATAATATACTAGCTCTTAGTCTCGATACCTATGAATAAATAGTGGTTTAGTTCTCGCAAGGCACCAACCCCACTACAAGTGATAGGGAACATTCAAACCTACTCAGTGTAAGAAATGCATTTACCTACTCTACGATACCAGTCAATAATCACCCATGTTCATCAAAACATCCACACAGAGACACTATACCAAACCAATTCACCAAATCATAGTTAAATCAAGAACCATAATTTCACAGGTATTTTTCCAACATAACAACTCAAGAAAATGTGCAAAAAATCATCAATAAATATAATTTTATTATTCAAATCAAATACTAGATTTTTTTAAATCAAAAACAAAGGAATATCAAAGGTAAAATCTATATTTCTTGAAAATTAGGGTTTTGATAATAAGAATGAGAATTTTTATGGCTATCAAACGATAACCTCATTCAAGATATGATATGATTTGTAAGAAAATCGAAACAATGATTTTATAATATATACATATGATTTAAAATCAAAATAGACATATATATGAACTCTAGCCTCAATGAACAAGTTTAGGAAGAAACTTCTACCTTGGTTCTTGAGATCTTGATCCTAACGTATTTCGTTGTGATTATACCGCATTAATCCTTCAAGATTTAGCTCGTTCTTCCTCCCTTTCTTCTCCTCAAACATTCTTACGATTCTTGGGCTTGAAAAATAGGTAAAAACTCTTTAGATCTCAACCT